AGCAGATTAAACTTTAGCTTTGAAGGTCAAATAAATGGAAGGAATAAAATGTCCATTGGTTGAAGCTTCTATCTTCATTTTCAAAGCTTAAAGCTCATTTCTCGTCTCACTGCATGGTTCAACTGCTCGTTTTGTCTTGAGATGAGGAGAAAGCTTATACTTATCAGATCATTCATTCAACTGGAAAATGGCGCTCCTTCAAGGACCAGCGGTGGACTGTTCCAGGTCTATGGAGCCTGCTCTGTGCTTAATGACATCAGGAACAGTCCACAATTTAAGACTGCGAGAGCATGGGAGTGTAAGACTGGGTGATGGGAGGATTGGAGGATTAGGTAAGTAAATATCCTTTCTCTTCTCCCTCAGATAAAAAAAAGAGTAGTTATAAAGGGCAGTGCGGGCAGAGCTCCACTGCATGGGAAAACCTTTTTTTGCCCGGAGATGGACTTCAGCAGAACATACTGAAATTAGAATCTGACACCATGCACAGCTCTTCTAGTTTCTGGATGCTCCATTTTTGGTAAATACCCCCCTATGGACTCATGAATTCTCTAACAGACAATCTTGGGGAAAGGAGTCTTTAATTATGCTCTCATCAATCTTATCTCCTAGACATAGCATAAATAATCACTTTAGTAGTACATACTGTCAGTGGCGTCCCTAGGCAGGATCTGTGGATTGGGGAGCATAATGGATCGGAGTCCGATCCATTATGCTCAATTCGCAGATCTGATCCATCCTGCGGGGATCGTCAGCGTGCAACCTATATGGGGTGACACCGGACCCGCTCCACGAAAAAAGGTAAGTTGTAAAGAAAGCCGACGATCCCCACAGGATGGATCGGATCTGCGGATTGAGCATAATGGATCGGAGTCCGATCCATTATGCTCAATCCGCAGATCCGATCCATTCTGAGGGGATCATCGGAGGGGGTATCACCAAGTGTTATCGCACCGAGAGACACCAACCCTAGGGACGCCCCTGCATACTGTACATAAAATGCTTTACTACATTCACCGCACACCCTTTAAGTGCAAAAAAGTTCCCAACTATACCATGGCTTTACATTGCCATCTATATCATTCATTCTCAAGTCATCAATCACTTTGGATGTGGCTATAATTAATTTTTCTAGTTATTCCCAAATAACCAACCTGTGTCCTACAGAAATATACCTAGAAAAATAAAACAACAAACTGCTATCTAACTAACCTGAAGGGTGTTAGAAGCAGGAGCGGACTGACCATTTGGAAACTCGGGCACTGCCTGAGGGCCCGGGGTCAGTAGAGGGTCCCATGGGATACCCCTGATATCTTTTTCATAGGCTTTTTTGAGTTCGGGTAAGGACACAGGGGCCCCATGATCCCCTATTGCCAGGGGGCTCCATGAGTTGTCAGTCTGCCCCTGGTTAGAAATATAATAGGAGAGCAGGTTTTATAATCTTGATGCCCCTTTGGATATTGATTGACATGGGACTTGCATTCAGTAAAAACAAATGGGCATTTTATATCTTTCTCTATAAAATGATTGGTTTAAATGGCAGAGCACCTCATCTCAGGGCTACCAGCCCAACATACAGTATATAAAAGGAACTGACTAAGATGGAACTCAGCCTTCTACTGATGACTCAAAAACTAACAAATCCTTTCTGCTTGTCGATTGTGGTTTACTGATTTTTAACTTTAACTTACTACGTAAGCTTTTTATGTTAGTATGTTTGTGTGTATTGGATACCATAACTTTTATATACCCATATACAATCTTCTTCCTGTAATAATGTAGTCTTTAAAAGTAACCAATGCATTATCTCAATGGATGAATCAAGCAATAAAGTTTAATGTGAGCTATAGGAGTGTTACCATGAGGAGCTATTCCAGCAGTCTACACAGTCTAAAATACAGGATTATCAACCTCGTTGCTGCATACAGTGAATCTCCTGAACACTAATTTTAATATTCTCCTGAGTCGTCCCATCTGTCATCCTACACACCGTAAGAGCCCCTAATGAAAAGGGCAGTTTTGGACCCACAAAATGCCTTGGCTACATCGAACCTACACTCTAACCTTTTAGTGTGGTGATCCTGTTTGCCATGGGACTGCGCACTACTAATCCGTCACCCTAAAGCAAAGCAATAAAGGAAACAAAAAATGATTAAAAAGAAAAAATAACAAATACAAAAGTGTTTTAAATGAGGTGCTGTGATAACTATACAGTAAACAGAAATGATGACACCACAGTGATTATAAGTGTAAAAGTTCATCATAAAATAGTCCCAAACATATTCTTCATGAAACCACAAAAAATTCCTCAGGAATGTGCAAACGGATGCTCCAGTGATTAAAACAACTCCCCAGCAGACTAGACCTCATTGGACATAAATGACTTTCTTTTCACAGATTGGCATATAGTGCTTTTGGACAACAACAACTCCATTTAACATGGCTTCCGGTCCTGCATTCATACTCCAGTAGGGCTCCCCATATGGTGCATAAAAGAAATAGAGGCTCCAATAGTGTAAAACTGTATATCAAAAATCTTTTATTTAAAGTCAGAGCTACTTACAAGATAAAATACAATAAATCCAGCTTGGATAGTGACCTAGCAGTATTACATAATCTCACATCTAGTAACATCTGTCCAAACAATTCGTCAATATATCATCTTCCGGTGTAATAACTGAGGTCACATCCGATTGCTGCTGGTTATGCCCCAATATGTTGTCAATATGTTGTCAAGGGGATGGCAGGGCAGAACAGCAACACAATATTTATATATCCACACCTTGGAAATGCTTAACTTCTTTGTTTCCAATACTGCCATTGTTCAATGCAATAAATAAAGCCTCACACATGGGATGAAGGCAGTACAAACTGAGCAAGTAAACCTATAAAACAATGAAAATCTCCATAAAACTAGCCTCTTATCTAAATCAATGGAATGTACAATGGCAGTAATACATTAGAAAATAATTGGCAACCAAATACAGCATAACTTTGAACAAAAATATAAAAAAAAGTACACATTCTTATAACATCGTCAAATCTACGATAACACAAAAATAACTTGAATAAGCCATTTCTGAAGAAGAAAAATCATAGATTTGTGGATTTATTGTTATCACAGCACCTCATTTATAATACTGTTGTATTTGTTATATTTGGGTTAATTTTGTATTGAAGGCTGCAGTGACACTTTGTATTTGGGGGTAAACATTATAGTCCTGAGTTGGGTGATTATACAAAAAAATATTAGTATACAACCAAATGATAGTTTAAGTAACTTGTAAAATGGCGGTGGTACTTTTTATTTGGGGTCAGAATATAAACGTTACTAACAACAAAGTAGCTGAAAAGAGGAGGAGCCACATACAGTTTCCTAAAAAGAAAATACCCACAAGCCTCTTAGACAGAGATAGCGGTGCACAAACAACAGAACTTTTCTCAAAAACTTAACAAAAAACATAAAAAATTGTCCTTGTCTAACAATTCACAATAAAATGCAGGGTTTAGTTGCACACATTTGCAAATATATGTGAAAGCCGCAGTACCTTGCCAAGGTTTTTCTGTATACTGTGATCATAACTGTATATTTCAGATTATCCAAGTTAGAGCACATATAGCAATGGATAACTTAAAGGCAAGTTTGCCTGGAGGAAGCCATCTCCTAAAAGGCACAGGGACACATTGGACGCCCATCAAGAGCACAAGGGCAGCTGAAGAGCATCAATGTGTCCCCAAACCAAAAACCAGCAAATAAGCTGTACAGATAAATGGCAACAACCTCAATCTATAACCAATCTTTGCAGTAAGGTGCACATGGAAGGGCTTAGCTCACCACAAACAGAAAATCTCCCAGCATACCTACCAACTAGCCTGCAAAGAAACAACTTGACCCTGTCTAACGATTAACATTAAAAACAGAGGGTTTATACACTTTACCCCCTGACCCGGCTATGGCCCTTCTTAATAAACGGCTCCCAGACACTTCAAGCTACTTCTGCAGGTCACAACTGCAGCAAAACAAATTATTGCCAAAGCCTGGAAATTCCTTCACCTCCACATTTTAGAAATAAAACACAGGATCACCAGAGCCATGATCCACGCCAAGGTCGAAGCGGTCCTTTTAGATAAAATGAGTAAATAAGAAATGCTATATAAACCTAGGATAGATCACTTCCTTCCACCTGATTTTGACGAATCCTTACTTCTCCCATGTTAGAAGCCATGCTAGTCTCCAGGTTCATGACCTGCACTAAGGTTGCTGCGCCTCCCCCTCAGGGGTCTCTTTGCTGCCCCCACACCCCTTCTCCGATCGTCCCCACCACACCTCCTTTTCACCCCTCCCTTCTCCCCCATACACCCCTCCTGCACTCTTTCATTCCCATTTCCTCCATCTCTTCGTCCCCCCCCCTTCTCCTCTTCTTGTCTTTCCTTCCTCTTCCCCCCCCCCCTGTTTTCTTTACCTTTTAGTTGTTCTCCTATTGGTCGCTAATGGAATACCCTTAACCATACCAATTGCGTTGCCTACAGTTCAATTCCCCCTATGGTTAAGCAAACAAATATATCAGAAATACTTCCCTCAACGGAATTGCTATGCTAATCATCACATAACACTAACCTCACCCTGATCTGTCATTGCTTTCTATATACCAACCAATGTATAAACTTGTCTACATTGTCCTCTTTTCAGGAATATTTTTGTTCACAGTGCTAGGGGTTGCAAACCCATCATATACAAATGCCTTCCAGGCATTCCTTGAATCGTTACTGTTAATGTGGTTATCTCCCATTGAGATTATGTACTTGTGATCTCTAGACCTGTAATCGCCAATTCTGTTATGTTACCTTCAATAAAATATTTGAACAAGAAAAACAGAGTTTAGTTACACACATTTGCACATACACTATATTGCCAAAAGTATTGGGACACCCCTCCAAATCATTGGATTCAGGTGTTCCAATCCCTTCTATGGCCACAGGTGTATAAAATCAAGCCCCTAGGTATGCAGACTGCTTCTACAAACATTGGTGAAAGAATGGGTCGCTCTCAGGAGCTCAGTGAATTCAAGCGTGGTCCCGTGATAGGTGGTCACCTGTGCAATAAGTCCATCCGTGACATTTCCTTGCTAATAAATATTCCACGTTCAACTGTTAGTGGGATTATAACAAAGTGGAAGCAACTGGGAACAACAGCAACTCAGCCACCAAGTGGTAGGCCACGTAAAATGACAGAGCGAGGTCAGTACATGAAGCGCACAGTGTGCCGACGTCGCCAGTTGTCTGCAATAGCTAAATACCTCCAAACTTCATGTGGCCTTCAGATTAGCACAACAACAGTGCGTAGAGAGCTTCATGGAATAGGTTTTTATGGCCAAGCAGCTGCATTCAATCATGTGCACGCAAAAATGCTGTTTTTTTTGTACATTTTCCTTGCAATTGTTTGGATATTCTTTGCAAAGTGTAGCTTTACCTCCTTTATTAGGCTCTGGAGAATCAATTGCTAAAGACTTCCAAAATTCATGTGGCCTTCAGATTAGCAAAAAACAGTGTATAGAGAGCTTAATAGAATTGGTTATCATGGCCGAACAGCTCTATCCAAGCCTTATATCATCATGTGCAATGCAAAGCAGCGGATATAGTGTCTGGCAATCCATTTGACATGTCTGGGTTTGGTGGTTGTCAGGAGAAAGGTACTTGCCGGACTGCATTGTGCCAAGTGTAAAGTTTGATGAAGGGGGGATTATGGTGTGGGGTTGTTTTTCAGGGGTTGGGCTTGGACACTTAGTTCCAGTAAGAGGAACTCTTAAGGTGTTGGCATACCAAGACATTTTGGACAATTTCATGCTCACAACTTTATGGGAAGTTTGGGGATGGCCCCTTTCTGTTCCAACATGACTGCACAGCAGTGCACACAGCAAGGTCCATAAAGACATGGATGAGCGAGTTTGGGGTGGAGTCCTGACCTCAACCAGACAGAACACTTTTGGAATGAACTAGAGCAGAGATTTTGAGCAAGACCTTCTCGTCAATGCCTGACCTCGCAAATGTGCTTCTAGAAGAATGGTCAAACCTTCCCATTGACACACTCCTAAACCTTGTGGACAGCCTTCCCAGAAGAGTTGAAGCTGTTATAACTGCAAAGGGCGGGCCAACTCAATATTGAACCCTACAGACTAAGACTGGGATGCCATTAAAGTTCATATACATGCAGGCGTCCCATTGGCAATATAATGTATATGTGAAAGCAGTGGTGCCCCAGCAAGGTCCCTCTGTATACTGTGGTCTTAACTCTGCATTTAAGAGTCTCCAAGTTGGAGCACACATAACAGTGAGCTGATGATACTCTTCTTGCAATAAAGAACAAATAAAAACAGCATTAATTCAAATGAATCACCAAGAGGTGACAACTTGCAACAGTCCTCAAATTTATACCATTGCAGCCAAGTGCTTGAATAGCCTGACCAGGTTAACTCAGAGAGAGATTGATCCAACACAGATTTAGTTAAATCCCAGTTAGCTGTTAAAGGTGTTCGTTCTGGGCACTTATTATTGTTATTATTATTATTATACAGTATTTAGCGCCAAAAGATTTGCTCAGCGCTGTACATTATAGTGGGGGACAGTACGTGAGATGATACAGTAACAAAACAATACACAAGGGGTTCGAGGGCCCTGCTCTTTCAAGCTTACAATCTAGGAGGGAGGGGATAATGATACAGGAGGAAGTGGCTGTGGGGGATGGAGTGGTAGGAGGAGTGGAGGAGGTCGGCTGTTAGGTGAGGGCGGGGTAGGCTTCCCTGAAGAGATGGGTTTTCAGGGTGCGCCTGAAGGTGAGGAGGGTAGGTGACAGTCTGATGGATGGGGTAGAGAGTTCCAGAGCATGGGGGAAGTCCTGGAGAGGTCCTGCAGTTGGGCGTGGGAGGAGGAGACCAGGGAGCTTGAAAGTAGGAGGTCTTGTGAGGAGCGAAGAGTACGGGTAGGGTGGTATTTGGGTATCAGGTCGGTAAGGTAGTTTGGGGCAGCGTTATGAATGGCTTTGTATGTCAATGTTAGTAGTTTGAATTTAATGCTTTGGGCAATCGGAAGCCAGTGGAGGGCATGACAGAGGGGGTGTGGCAGAAGTGGAGCGGTTGGTAAGGTGGATGAGTCTGGCCGCTGAGTTCAGGATAGACTGAAGCGGGGATAGCCTGTGTTGGGATAGGCCGGTGAGAAGGGAGTTGCAGTAGTCCAGGCGTGAGATAATAAGGGAGTGAATGAGTTGTTTGGTAGTGTCTGGGGTTAGGAACGTACGTATCTTGGAGATGTTGCGGAGGTGGAGCCTGCATGAATTTGCCAGAAATTGGACATGGAGTTGGGCACTTCTGCTTGATTGCATCTCTTCCTTTTCTCCAGGGGGCCACACTCTTGAGGGAAGCGAGCTGCTGGTGTGATAAGCATTCACAAGTAAATTACAAGTAAATTAAATTGGTCTGGCAAGTAAGTCACTTTGAGCCATATGTTAAAATGTACACAACACAAAAATAAATGGTGGAGTAAATTAACAAGTAATGGGGATTTTTAGGGGCAGGCTATTAACCGCATATACAACCCTTTTGTTGTCTGTGTGCAGCAATCATTTTTTTGTAAAAATATTTATTCTTAAATAACAATAGAAAAAAAACTATGGGAAAAGAGTCCCAACAAACAATATGGTGAGTGGTGCCTTTAGAGACAAAGGAGTCATACAAACTATCAGTTTACCATTTACCTTGCCAGTAAGCCAGAAATCCCACAGAGCCTGCATTTGTGAGAAATTCAAGGCTGTCACCTGATATAAACTTTTCCTGCCACAAAACGTGCCATTTAAGGATGATAAAAATGAGTACCAAAAGAATAAATCCTTAAGCATGTCCAGTAACTTCCCTTTGAACTCAGAAATTTGTCAAGATGCTTCTTAGTTGTAGGAAATGTGTTCCTGCTGGAGCCTAAATTAGATTGCTATTGTATTAATAGAAGTATTGTGTGTAGAAAGGTTAATTATTGGCAAATCAATACAGTCTTTTTTATGGCTACAACAAAATCTGATATCCTGTCAAAGAATAAATGCTGCAGCTGGTGAAAGCACCAATGAACAGATACAGATGAGATTTTGGAGTCACCAACCTTTAGGGGAGCATGAGATTAAGACACAACTATATGTCTTCAGGCCACAATCTTATAAAGGAATACACAGCATTCTTTTGATGAAAAGTATCACTGCAGTGAAACCATGCAACCCCCCCCCCCCCCATATAGCCATAGGCCTCAAAAACATTAAACATCTTACTGTTGAAATACTGTAAATCATGACCTAGGATGCTTGCGAAGACACAAAATGCCTGCAACCAAGTATTAAAAAATATCTTGCTGATGACCTTCTTCTGTCTCACACAGCATCTTTCTTCTCCTTACCAACAAAATCCTTATCAGCAGGTAAATCCATCAGCAGGTCAACAAATTCATTTCTCAAAACAACACTTGCAAGTGAATACCTTACAGCGACATTTTGCACATCATTTCCTTATGAAACAAAGCTTCAGTCCAGAGCAAGGAGAAGAGAATAGAAGAAGAGAGGACAGACAAAACAGCATTGGTGACAGAACTGTTAACAGTAACTGGTTGTTCACAAACTGCCAGAATAGCTTAAACTATCTGGTAGTTTACTTGAGTTGGCACTGAGACTACTGAGGATGGAAACCCAAAAGAAAGGTCAACTCGGAGGAACCCACACAGTTGAAAAGGAGACAGCAGAAGTAGCTGAGGAGACCTAAGCCTGAAGACTCTAGCATAGTTAGTCTGGTTGAAAAAAGACAAAAGTCCATCCAGTTCAACCATTAAAATAAAAAAAAAGAAAACAAAAAAAAAAAAAGTTTTAATCCTACACCCACAGTTGATCCAGAGGAAGGCAAAAAATCTTAGCAAAGCATGATCCAATTTGCTCCTGCAGGGAAAAAAAATCCTTCCTGATCCCCTGAGAGGCAATTGGATATTCCCTGGATCAACTTTACCTATAAATGTTATATCCAGTTATATTCTGTGTATCCAAGAAAGAATCCAGGACTTTTTTAAAGCAATCCACTGAGCTGGCCAGAACCAACTCTTGAGGGAGTCTATTCCACATTTTCACAGCTCTTTCCGTGTTTGGAGATTACATTGCTTTTCCTCCAGATTTATAGAGTGCCTCCTTGTCCTCTGTGATGACCTCAGGGTGAATAAATCTACACCGAGTTCACTATATGAACCACTGATGTATTTATCATATCCCCCCTTATGTATTATACATGGAGATCATATCCCCCTTATGTATTATACATGGAGATCATATCCCCTCTTATGTATTATACACGGAGATCATATCCCCCCTTATGTATTATACATGGAGATCATATCCTCCCTTATGTATTATACATGGAGATCATATCCCCCTTATGTACTATACATGGAGATCATATCCCCCTTATGTATTATACATGGAGATCATATCCCCCCTTATGTATTATACATGGAGATCATATCCCCCCTTATGTATTATACATGGAGATCATATCCCCCTTATGTATTATACATGGAGATCATATCCCCCCTTATGTATTATACATGGAGATCATCATATCCCCCCTTATGTATTATACATGGAGATCATATCCCCCCTTATGTATTATACATGGAGATCATCTCCCCCCTTATGTATTATACATGGAGATCATATCCCCCCATATGTATTATACATGGAGATCATATCCCCCCTTATGTATTATACATGGAGATCATATCCCCCCTTATGTATTATACATGGTGATCAATACATTCACTGTTTTACAGAAACTAGGGACTGTCTGGCCTTGATAGAAAAACTCCTTCATTCTAAGAAAAGGAAACAGGTGCATCCTGGGAGCTCAGACTCCCTTTTAAGAACTGAGGGAAAGGAAACACCTATAATTCTCTGCAGCACACGTTGTGGACTGAACTTGCATCCCCTACAGGTGAGCATAGACTTATTGCCATCCACAGCTTAATTATTTCATTGGGTTTGCCTCATCACAGACTATCTCCGCTTCAGTCTATCCTGAACTCAGTGGCCAGACTCATCCACCTGCCACCCCCCTCTGTCATTCCCTCCACTGGCTTCCGATTGCCCAACGCGTAAAATTCAAACTACTAACATTGACGTACAAAGCTATTCATAATACTGCCCCAAACTACCTCACTGACCTGATACCCAAATACCACCCAACACGTACTCTTCGCTCCTCACAAGACCTCCTACTCTCTAGCTCCCTAGTCTCCTCCTCCCATGCCCAACTCCAGGATTTCTCCAGGTCTTCCCCCATCCTCTGGAACTCATTATCCCAATCCATCAGACTGTCAC